TGAAAATAAAAGACAGCGCGCACGGCACAATGATACAACGACAGCAACAACAACAACGAACGAATGAAGAAGAATTGACAAAGAAGAACGGAAAATGAAGCATAAAGTGTGTTTATTATTGTCGCCTTGCCATTTCTTTCGGGGAGCCCGTTATTGCACTACATGTACGAAGTGCGATTTAAATGCATCATCATATGCCAAACTGAAGAAGAAATAAAACAAAACAAAAAAAAACGACAAACCAAACTGTGACAGTCACGAGCATTCGCCGAGGAGCAACAAACATGCGATAAAAATTGAGAGGGCGCGATCGCACATCGCATTGCATTGTCAAAAGTCACAAAATGTATGTGCGCGTACTCGAACTTGAAACAAGCCAAAAATGAAGAAAAAAGCAACGAAGAGCTAAACGCCAAATTGTGAATGTGAATCTATGACGGCGTTGCCACACCGTACTCGATGTGCTTCTTTGTCGGTAAAATAATGCGAAGGGCGATGGCACATTTATGCTTTGATATTGATTGCGATTGCTAGCAAAACGTTCGTACAGAGTGAGAGACGTCAGGCGAGCGAGCGACAGCATGAGAGGTGAAGAGCAAGCAAGTGAGAGAGTTTGTCTTGTTATACGCTTTCAGGCACTTGTGCACATCAAATTAAATTGCATATATTTGCGAATCGTATGCATCGATATTTATATTTTATCATTTTGCATCCAATTGCGCACGAAGAGTTCCCGTTGCTTCGCAAGTGTAAGCGAAACAATGGGAAAAACAAAATCATTGACTCGAACTTGCAATCGGCAGAACAACAACAACAACAACCAAAAGACCATAACAACTCGGCACTAACTCTTTCTCGCGCCATTGCTGCTGCTGTTGCTTGGCTCACATATGAGAAGAGCCAGCAACAATAGCCAAGCATAACGAACGCATCAACAGAAGAAAAAAGAAGCTGCAACGAGTGAAAAATGAAATGAATGGAAGAATCATGCAAGCTCATCAGTCCAAATGAACACCCAAATGCAATGGCAATGGCAAAAGCAGCAAAATGCCGAATGCAGATGGAGTGCCGCATTCACGTTCCAACCAAATCGAAAAACATGCATCACATCGACGACATATCGATTCCGCGGGCTACGGAAAATTGTTAGTCAGGTTGTTATTATCGAATGGTGTGCCTGTGTGAATTTCGTACTCGTTGTGCTCATTTTATTATTGTACATTGTGTGATTTTATGCTGCTTCGTTTGTTCGTTGATTATTTATAAATAAAACACGGTGAATAATAACGCGCGAGAGACAAATGAAACGAAGAAGAGCAATGGAAATCAGCATCACGGAGTGCAAGAGCGAAAGATTGCGAGAAATTTTTGAGCTTTTCTGCATGGTATTTTCGAGCCCATCATCATTCGTCACGTTGTTATTACGCGAAAAAAAAGTGACACAAATGATGGGCATCATCACAGACGTTTTCAAGCGTGTCGACTCATTTCCACCCAGACTGTAAAATTTTCGAGTGCAATAGACACATGATATGACCCAAGATAGAGAGGAAGAGATAGAGCGAGAAGTGAAAAAAAGGCAGCAACAGAAAAATTTGTCAGACAAATTAACATTCTAATCACATTTTGAGTCTCTTTTTTTTCTCCTCATTTCAAATAGCCGTGAATTGGTCGGCAAAACCTTTTTTGAAAATTACTGGAGAGGCAAGAGTAGAGAGACAGATTTAAAAAAAAAACAAATAGAGAATAAACGACAATGATGGTGGATTTTACTCTTCCACACATATTTGTTACTATTTATGGCACTTAACAGTACATGGCCCACTCTTGAAATTCAAATGTTTCTCGCTTCTCTTTTCAGATGCGATGTGGCTCATAAAAGCGATTTGATTTTAATTTTGGGACGAACGATAATCGTAACAAAGAGACGAAAAGCAGCGCATGCATATTGAATGCTCAATATCGCCATAAATGTTCGTTTTTTGTGGTCAGACACAAACGAGTGGAGAAAAAATGATGTGTCAAAAAATTAATTATGATCGAAGCGTTTATGTCTCATAATAGTCGCTCAGTAACCATGCTCATAATCATTACCAATGTCATCATATCGTTTTCGGTTATGCCATTAGGCATTCAAATGATGCAGTGTGCCGCTGCTGCTGTTTTGATCGTCGTCGTCGTCGTCTTCCATTCAGACAATTCTTTCAACACTTGCATATCCATTATCGTCTGCATATTTTCATGTGTCTGCTCTCTGTTCAGCGCTTGCTATCGATTCAGTAGATGCAAAGTTAAAATTACGTAAACCGCTTATTTGTCTATACTTCTAAAGTCCATAGATTCGGTTCTGTTTCTCTCACTTTGTGCTGCTGTTGTTGTTGGCTTTTTTCCACTATCTTATCAAAACCATCAAAAACGTTTTGAGCACCCAATAAATTGTTATGCAACAAACAACAGTGTTTTGAATAAAACACAAACTCACACCAATTTTGATGACTAAAGGAAATGGGTGTTTGAAAGAGAGTCTGTAATCGACCACAACAGTTCATAAACACATTATATTTATTTAAGTTTTTCTCTTCAAATTTTTTTTATTGCATAGATGCTACATTGTGGTTTTCTTTTGGTCGTACACGATCGAGACAAACAACCGGCCAAATAAGCAACAGTCTCTGTTTACAGACTGCGAGAATTTATAATTTTATTTCACACAAATTTTCATCGAATATTCGATCGACATGGCGATTTGCAATAAAATGCGCGCGGCATCCGATTTTGTTGGATTTTATAAATGGTTTATGAACATAAATTACAAGATTTTGTAATTTCATCATCGCATCGCATCGCGTTTGCTTTGACTATTTTGTAGAGTTATTCTTTTGTAAATAAATTCATACAATAATCACATCACATCGGACATATGCAAATTGATTCAGAGAATCAATGTGGCCAACACGATTTCTGTGTTCGCCTCGTCACTGAATTCCATTTTTGTTTGCACCAAACGAGCGCGCGCGAGCGCCTCAGCAACTGACCAAATTCAAAGAGAAAAAATGCCATTTTTCGAAAGAGCACCAGAAATGAAGTGTTCGAAGTGTATGTGTATGTGTCGGGAAGAATGTTTGCGGCGAATTTGAATTGCGTGATAAAACGATATATCTTTTCAGTGCTGTCGCCGTTCGCCAATTTATACTGAACCATACTTTTATGTTTTTTTTTTCCTTTCTCCATTCCACCCGAATGCTTTATTAGTAAACACAAAGTGTTTTCAGTGAACTATCCCATGCTCGGGCTGAACAAGGCACTGTGCCCCATTTTCAGTGCGGCCACCGTCTCTCTCTCTCTCTCTCTCTCTATCTCTCTCTCTCTCTGTGCGCCGCTGCTGCTGCCGTCGTCGCGAGTCGCCAAAACACTTTGTTGTTTCCTTTTGTACAATATCGATCATAAATCATTGATTTAAATCACTTAGTATGTGAGCACAGGCACAATACCTCTTTTTTCGCTATAACCTCGTCTTCCTTTTCCAGTTCTTTTTTTTCGCTGCATGGCTTTTGCATGCTCCATTAGAAAAATTGAAAATTAAATGCTTCAAATAAATGTTCGCATGAATCATTTGCTTTTAGCAAATTACCATAAGTTTTCAATAAAACTCATTCTTTTTGCAGTCGAATCATGTGCGCTCGCGCCGGCTCGCTCGCTCGTAATTCTCAGTAATGGATGATTTTGTTGTGCAAATGTGTGTGCATAATAAATTCATAAATATCATAAATGAACTTCATTTTTTCGTTGCATTTGTTTCAATTTCGGGGCAACGCGTTCATTATTACAATAAAGGCCCACCATAATTATTCGACAAACAAAGATTGACTCATTTTGGACCGGGAGAAAATGCCAAGTTCAGCAATTTATTACAAATAAACAAAACCGAAAATCTTTCATTGGCCTCACACACTTATCATACCGAGAATCAATATTAATCGCCATCGTAAACACACACACAAAACCACAATCTTATTTTCATTTGCACGAGATTCACTTGAGATTCATTCATGTAATCGGTTGGTTTTTCTCTCTGTCTCTCGCTCTCTCCACGTATGCGAAAAGAATTGTGCACAAATGAAATTAGATTGGTTGGGGCGTGCGTGCAAGCGTGCGTACAACAAATCGACAACCAACAAAATTACTTTGTTGCACGTTTATATGGTTGTAAAACAATCGTTGAACTCATAAACAAACATTACAAACCAAGAGCAATGATACCAAATCAAAAAAATTGCTCGGTCGGTCGAACGGTCACTTGCTCGTCCGTTGGTCCGCACGCGCCCGCGCTCATACACAAACAAGAAATTGTAATGCAATACATTATCATTATAATGTTATTAAATTATGTCCAGCAAGTTGCGCTTCAACTCAATAATCGTAGCAAAACTAGCGAAAAGTTATATCGTACGTGTATTTTTACGTGTTTATTTGCTTTGGTTTCTCGCCTCGGAATTTTCTCTCATCTTGCCGTGGCATCAATGAAATGTGCCCGTCTGTTGCGACTGAGTGTTATTGTTGTTGTTGTTATTGTGCAAATGGTCAATGGAGAATGTTAATACGTTCTGGACTGTTGATTCGATGAAGTCGAGGAACGTGCTGTGTTCGCATCACCGAACGACGAGTATGTGATCGGGGGAAAAAAAAAGGAATGAGCTTGAAACACAAGAAGGGAAAAAACCAAAAAATACCAAGTGACCAAAAAACCGTGGCTCTCTTGCTCGTCTATCCGACAACACAGAACATTGTCCGTTGATATGATACACATTTGTTTCCGAAGAGTGGGCAAACATTTATATATGATTATTAAATAGAAATGAAACGGCAATTAGGAGTTTACCACAATAAATGTAATGAAAACACACTCATTCGTACAACGATTGAGAGCATTGTCTTTGTCTGCTCGTTTCAAGAGAAATTGTCGTGTGATTTTCATTTCGAAAAAAAGTGCTCATACATACCGTGTTATTCTTGGATCTTTGCAAAGTCAGCAGCAATCTGTAACGACAAAGAAAAAAGAAAACGTGATGAGGTTAATGGATGCAAATGATTTACAAATCGATGCTTAATGTATTTTCAAACGCTATTTTCTATCATTGGAAAGAGAAAAGGGCCAAAACGATTGGAAGTTAGATCAACCGTTATGCCACTGATAAGACTCGAACGGATGCTCGTAAACCAAAACTATATTATCACTTGAATGGGCTGAGGGCTTATGTGTGCGATGAATAACAACAACTGTCGCATGTTTTTTTTCTTGCTTCTTCTTCTCTCGGCTCGACGACTTGCCGGATCTACATAATTTATGATTTAACATCACAAGCTGATCTGACGACACAACATTCTCCGTAATATCGATGACCTGTACAGGGCGATGTGCCACACAGTCACACAATTGAAACTATTCATAAAACGCAACTGCCACGACAACACATACCGATAAAAAAAACTTAAAGGCCATTGAATTTAATTATCCGAAAAACGTAGCTTAACAGAAGTAGCAGCTGCTGTCACCATTGCTGCTGATTTGAATGAACGAAAAACATTTTGTTTTCCTTTCGAATATTCTTAAATTCATATTTGAATATTCGATCTGAATTGTGAATGAATGAATGAAAGCATCGATCAAAAAGCGATACAGACGACGGCCAGAGAGAGGGAGAGAGAGATAAAGACGTTGTTCGCATTAATTCAGTGACTTGACTAATTTTCGGGTAGTTTGCTTTGACATTTTGGGTGCCTTTTCATCAGATTGATTGTTGATGCATCGATTATTATTATTCGAAACCGAAGAAAATCGCTCAAGACAAGAATCATAATCAGTCACCGTTTTTTTACTCATTTAACTCATTAGTTTGTTTGAGTGATAGAGAGAGAGAGAGAGAGAGAGAGAGAGAGAGGGGGGGAGAGAGAGAGAGAGACGAGTCGAGTCGAATCAAATTTACGCATCGAACATCGGCTCTGATTGAAAAAAAAAACACTACAACTAATCCATGCAAATGCATTCAGCATTTTAATTCTGTGTCATGTTCGTTGCGCCATTGCGATAGAAATTCAGAAGAATTTAAAAAAATAAAACCAAGTTAAATCGATAAGAAATACACAGACAAGAAGAAAAGAAAACGAATCAATGGAAACAAAATACATACAAAAACCGCCTGGAAAAAGGCGAATAAGTATTTCGAAAGAGGTTTTTTTCTTCTCTCTCTCTCTCACACTCTCACTCGCTCGCATTCTGTTGTGTTTGAAAAAGTCGAAAATATAGCAGCAGTCTTAAAACCGCAGACACATTTCCGAAATAATCACGAATTTATGAAAAACCTGAAAATCGGAGTGACGGCATTTTCACTCTAAATCCCATTTCATCGTTTCAATTTTTTTTTGCGGTTCATTCGCTTATCTGTCACACAGCCATGACTAAAAGCGTTAAGATTTTCCAAAAATGTATTTTTTTCAACCGGATCAAGTGCGGCATTTACGACAAAAACAAGTACTAGACTTTTGTCAGTGAGCGCTTATGTTCTTTGTGTGTTGTGTGTTGTGTGCATTTGATCGAAAATCCCCAAGTGAATGGAATGAATCAAAATATTATTTATGATAATAATTATGATGATGATGATTTTAGTATTCAACTCAGTAGTAGTTTCACAAACGTATTTCACTAAATAAATCTAACGACCATAAAGTTTTTCGACTTCTTCTTCTTCATTCGGATGAGTTGAATGCATTGACGAATGGATAATGGCACGTGTGCATTGGCATTCCGAAACTTTTCATCTCATTATTTGGTGGGATTTCGTTCGCCAGATTTGGGCAAATCGAGTTTCGATCCAGAATCCAGCTAAACGTGTGTATGCGTGCGTGTGCGTGTATGTTTTGTTGGAAATTGGAATCGAATTATATGAGTTCCGTAGGGAATATAATTTTACATGTGTATGATATGAAACAAGACAGAAGAGGCAGATGGAAGACGAAAAACTTAATGCCATCCCAAAATTCATACACGAAAGAGGATTATCGTAAAGTGGAACAGAGTTCGACGCATCCAAAATCTATTTTGACGATGATTATTAATACTGTTATTGTTACTTGTCATACTTGTGCAATGTTATTAAGTATGCTATGGATTTTTTTTCCCGTTCTACTCGGTTCTTGTTGTTATTGTTATCTTAATTGCATTTTAATCTTCTAATAAAACGTATGAGCAACGACTGCCGATAATGTTCGCACATGGATGTTGTGTGTGTGTGTGTGTGTGCATGGCGTGCGCGCATATTTAGCAACAGCACTGGCAGCAATAACAAATCCGGCCGAAAGGAAGGAGCGAATAAAAATTGATTGTACGCGTTACATACTATATGATATCCGTTCATCACTATTTCGCTTCGGTGTGGATTCGAGCGCCTGGATTGAGATATTCAATTTCATACTTGATTCGTTGTGTGTCTCATTGCGTGCCCGCGTCTTTCGTCTCTCTGTCTCTCTCTTTTTCTGTGTGCATTTACGGCGCGAGAGCAATAGTACCAAGTCTTGGTATTCGTGGCAAAGCACGAGCCAAATCGCGTATGAAAATGCGAATGACATTGCGTTTTATGCCAATGAAATGAACACACTCAAGTAATGATACACTCACAGTTGCTGGCTCAATCTCATGAGAAACAAATGCGACCACTTTGCGTGTCTTATTCCCCTATCCCTGTCGCTGAAGTAAATATTCAATCGTGGTCTTTTTCCGCAGAAACAACAACAACAGCAGCAACACGAACGACGACGACGACGTTGTCGACGACGACAGCAAAAAGATTGACAACTCATAATCACTGTTTCGTGCACGAGACATTCGAACAACGACGATGTCTCAACATTCGATTCCCTGGAAGCACTTATCCGTCTCCGCCACCCGCTCGTTTCGTTCAACCGATTCATTCATGAATGTTTTAAAACGTGAGATTTATATGCATTTCGCCATATAGTAAACACCCATAGCAGTGAATGTGCAATATGCAAATGGGCTGTACGTACTGATGAAATTTCGCGCCTCGGTCGGACGAGTGAGAGCACGAACGAAATTTCAAACGAACGCCATATTTTTCTTATTTTCATATTTAATCAGAATTAACATAATATTTGGTTCAATCAACGCTGATGTTTACACCGAAAACAAGCGACACGATATAGTGTACACAGGGGGGAGAGAGAGAGAGGGAGACAGAGAGAGTGAAAGAGCACTGTTTCACTGAAAATCTCGACGAAAATGCGCAGTCAAGTAGCAGCCGTTAAATGTGAATGCGTATCATTGTACGTGCAGTATACGAATCAAAAAGATACACCAGGCCAACGAACAACAGAAAAAAATAGCGACAAGATGATTTTTAGAGCTTGGTCTGTGTATAACAAGGCACGCCAAGCAGACGACACACTAAATGGACAAAAGTGCACAACGAGATTCTGGTCGATCGCTTTCATGAATCGAGTGTCTCTTGCATACAATGTATATATATATTGAAAGCGATGCGAGATAATTTCATCTGTATAAATTGTTTCTTTACGTAGCGTGTGTGCGCTAAATAAATGTTATTTGAACATGAAATTTCATTCATCTTTATACTCGCTCTCACTGAACGAAATGATTGCGAGAGCCGGCCAAAGAGGCGACCGTTAACAGGAAAATTCGGTGGTCTACACACACACACACACTCTCTCTCTCTCTCTCTCTCTCTCTCTCTCTCTCTCTCTCTCTCTC